ACTGGTTAATTGCACGAGTCTTCGTATTTTCCAACGTATCTATTTCAAGACTGCGAATTCTAAGTTTTCCCCTTGTTTTGGCAAACTATTTGCATATTACGTTTGTGTTCATAGTTTTTCCAGGACTGTAAACAAATTAAAGAAATTAAATTGTTATTTTATGAATCAATACAATAAAGGTATTTTTATTTACATAAATGTTACATTGTTACTGTGTGGATACATGTGAATTATGTGCTATATCAATAAAATCTGAACACTTACTTGTACCATTCTCTAATAATTTAGCTGTGGAGTTTGATTTACGGAAAGCCACTAACAAAATTGCACTAGAGGATTTCATTTTATATAGTGGATACACTTTTTTTCCTTTAAAGCCACTTAGAGATTGTTAATTTCTAACATACAACGGGGATCTGAAACCCCTGGGAAGTTTGACTTCTTCAGCAGGAACTCAGCCCTCCAGTGAGCACCCAGGTGAGAGGCCCTTTTGTCAGAACTTCTGCTCGCCTCCGAGATCAAGCGCTCTGCACGTTTGCAGTCCGTGCAGGCAGCATCGGCAGCACCCAGCGCCGCACCTTTACGCGTCATCAACATAGCAGCATGTTCTCACAGTCGTCCATCGCGGATACACGACTGTAGCTGACAAGTCTTTCACAGTGACCGCAACTTCAGTTTTGTGTAACCCCCAAGTACGACCCCTTGCAAACCGAAACCCCTTGGAAGTTCTGCAAGACGGGTTTGACTGCAGGTGTCTGCACTGATACCAGGAATTGCACTGCAAACATTCAAACGTAACCTGGATTTGACACAGTGTCAGTTATTTTCAACTCATGTACCTTAAGCAAACATTGCTGTTTTTCTATCACTGCTTGGGCAGCACAAAAGCAGCTTTGCCGAACACCACCTCCCAGAGCTGGAAGTTGATTCATTCAATTTTCCCCTCCGTACCCCACTGGTTATTCTGCCAGGAATTTCCCGAAGGTGCATATTGTTGGGAAGGGCAAAACTAAAGTATACGCTAAATGGAAAAAAGAACCAATAGATTTTCAACGCTGCTCCCATGACAGCGTAATAGTCAGTTCTCGATGATTTTCTTTCCACTATACAACCTTTTTTAGTGCAGTTAAAGTACAGCAAAAAAAAAAATTTGCTTTGGAAAAAAGCCAGTTTGTCCAGTCTGGTCCATATACAGTCCAAGTATGTGAAGCTATGGTCTGGGGAATGAAAGAGACTCATGCAGCCTCCTTGTCTTCTCAAATTTATTGCTAATTACTAGAAATTTAATCTAACCCACCACTTCTGGTTAAGCTCATTGTACTGCAGCTATCGTAAGTTTCTTTTAAGTATGGTAAAAAAAAGTCCACAGCTAAAAATCTTACAGGTTTGAATTAAAACCAGGATTATAGTAACTTCCCCCGGCTCATAAAGCCACTACCTTGAAAAGTGTGCAAACAGGATTAAGGATTAACACTTTCCTTTAGAGAAGAAACAAACAAGGCAGACAACAGAAGCAAGGTAGAACTGTCTATGGGAAATGGCTTTCGTATTTGGACAAGAGACCGTTCCGCAGTGTTAAAGAACTCCACACCTCCTTCGGCTACAAGGTCCGTCGGGATCTGTAGGAGCGGTTCTGAAACACTGGCTTAAATCAAAAACAAGAAAAGAAATGAAGGCATTAAAATTCAGGCAATGTTTCAAGAGTTGATCATCTGGCAACACGGCTGACAGGATGGGAACTTTAAAAATTAAGTGCAGCATCACAACCGGTGGAGTGCCCTTTGCGAGAGGCCCGTGTGTGTCAGTCAGTTTCCCAAAAAAAAACCCCAAACCTAAAAAGAAATAGTCACACAATCTTTTTGATGCTGTGACGTTTGAAACTGCCAGCACTTCGCTGCTTTTGCACTTGGCTTGCGGAGCCGTGGCGCATCCTCCCACTGTTGGAGTGTCCGGCGGTGGGCGAGAGCTCCACGTTCTCCTTGTCGATCCCTGGGGAAACACAAGGACCGAGGTTAACCTTGCCGCTTTGGCCATCCTGCAACTTAACGCTTTAAGGACAGCTTTTTCTGCGGACGCACAGGCCAGCTCGCCAGCCCCTGTGCAGAACAGCGGCAGGAACAAGCGACGGTGCCCTCTGGGCCAGGGAGGTGTCGGCAGAGCCCCGCCTGCCAGGGCGGGCCGTGGGGGACCCACCCGCGCTAGTGTCAACAGTCTGGATGAAGAGGGGACGTCGTGGTCCAAATACTGCTGAATTCTGCCATGCTGACAAGTGGTGGTTCATTCAAAACAGCGTCTGGCAACACAAACCAGCAGCAGTGCTGCCTGCCTGGGAAAGCGCTGCAGAACCTGGTCATGACGTCTTTTAAGAAAAGAATAACACATTATTTGTGGTCGCTTAACCCCAGTAGGCAGGTAAGCACCACACAGCCGCTCGCTCATTCCCCTCCACCCAGTGGGACAGGGGGAGAGGAAAGGAAGAGTGAAAGCAAGAAAACTTTCGTGTCCTGATTAAAATACAAAGTCTAGTTAAGTGAGGGATTTGTGGAAGATGAACGAAAGCAAAACAGAAGTGATGCAAAGGCAAACTCTCAGCACCCCCCATGGGTAGCCCAGCCGGCTCCCGGGCGGAAGATGGCTAACCTCCCCAGCGCCCCTCTTTATTGCTGAGCATCACGCTGTCTGGCACGGAGTAACCCTTTGGTGAGCTGGGGTCACCTGCCCGGCTGGGTCCCCTCCAGCCTACTGCCCACCCCCCGGCTATTCACCGGGAGGCTGAGTGAGGGTCACAGCAGGCTCTTCCCTGCGCAACGCTGCTCGGCACCGCTTTGGTCACAACTCTAAAACACGGCCCCATGCCAGCTGCTATGAAGAAAATCAACTCCACCCCAGCCAGGCCCAGAACACCATTTTAGCCAGATGTAACACAATCTTAACTGTCGATGATGTCTCACACATGACAAATGTGATACAGCTACTTCATTGCAGTATTCTAGTATGAAAAATAATTTTTGCAGGACCAGATGTACGACCCCGTCTCCAGTGAGAGCCCAGACTTTGACCAGATGAAACACCTCCACATGCTAAAGTGCGATGCCTGCTCACACAGCTCTGCGCGCTCACCTACACATAGCTTATCACATTTCAACAGGACTGTTCAAATAACCTTCCCCTCCTCCGTCCCCCCCTTAAAGTTGCAGATTGAATTTGCTGTTAGTTTAACTCCAGCAATAAAAGACAAAAATACCCTGATATATGGGCACTGGCTGATCTGTTTCAATCTATGCTACTTTCCTACAACAACATGAAAATAGACAGGGGTATGAACTGTTCACTGCCTTCACCTAGTCAGCTCTTAAAACAGAAATAGGAGTTTTATTTACTAGGGGAAATAGTACAGCTAAACATTCACACGGCAGATGAAGGGCTCCCCTACATCCTCAAAGCATTCGTACCAGCATCCGTACTCACTGAAAACACTCAAGTCTTCCAGGCCACAAAGCCCTTTCTGGCTGTAGTTTTGAGAAAACTGAGCAAATGAAAGAGTTTGACTCAAGTCTCTTCTGGCTTTTGCATTCTCTAGGGGGAAGAATTGTCAGGCTGTCAAATCTGTGGGCTTCTTCCAGCCAAAAATCAGACTGCTATTAAACGGGAATGGCGGAGTGAGGAAGGTTTGTTTCCGAACCTGCAGAATTCTGCTGCAATGGCAGAGCCTGATTCTTGCTACCAGAGAAGATTCGTGTGTATTCAAGTACCTAAAATTCCCCTCAACACTGAATCCTGGCTCACAAACAAAGATCACTAAAAATACATAACACAGAAATCAATGTTTGGAGGACTCTGTCTCATTGCCAGGAGGAATGAAAGGCTTAGCGGACTTATTTTACATGCAGCAGAAACAGCACTGATGCAGATATTCACTTGAAGAGTTAAGCGTCAAAGTGTAGGCACCAATTATAATGATTTAAACCCTGGCAAATTGAAAGTAAAAAAAAATAGATAAATCAACAATTAAGTTCTAACAAGGACAACTAAAGAAACAGTTTTCTAAGCAGGGTATTAACAGGAAGCGCACACAGAACAGGCGAGTCTGGAAATCTTTACGAGAACTGCTATTGCGTGAGGCAGGAGGAGGCTGATGGAGTGCAAGATGAGGATGAAACCAGACAGGCTTTATACCCAAGTGCATATACTTTTCTGAGAAGCTTTGGATGTTCTCTGCAGGACGAGGTAACTCTATTATGTTTTGCTAAAAGAATAACATCAAACAAACCTCAAAAATGAACGGCTTTAGTGTAAACTTCATGCCGACATGATGACAGCACACGAGAGCCTTGGGTTATGAGCCATGACTCTAACAGCTTTGGACACAGTCAGTAACTTGAAGATATAAAAGCTGAGGCTTCTGTTTGATACAGACATTCCACTCAATTATTACTTTTATGCTGACGCTACTATGAGTTAATCATTCCCATAGCAGTATCTTAGCGTAGCTGTCACATTATTTCTGCAACAAAATGAGTATGTTTGACGTGTGTTTAGCAACACTCTCAACACTTATGGTAGATGTGCGGCAATGGAATGAATAGCAGGAAGGGTGTTTTTATGCAAGAGGCTAAAAGTACAATCAGCAGCAAAAATTAGGACGTCTGACAGTGAGTAAAAAGGTTAGAACAAAATCCTACTGCTACAAATGACATCTCCCACAGTTATGTCTCACTCCTGTAAGAAACTGATTCTCACTGGCATTAGCAAGAATCAAGAACACGCTCCACGTTTCACATACGTACAGGGACAATTTCGAAACTCCAGCCAGAAGGTGGCTGCAGGCTACATCATCCTTCCTCTCCTTGTGTGGGTGTGAGCTTACAAAAACCACAAACTACGATGAGGATAGGAAGCAACCCACAGGTGTGAGCAACAAAACTCTTCTGCAGCTTTTTCTTATTTCTCCATACAGAAGCAGAAATCAAATGGCCTTGAGTACCCATTTTATTGAGCTTCTGTCTGCTGCAGTTTAGTCCAAAGAGCTCGTGCTCATTTTCCGGTGGTGTGTAACTGAAGTTAAAGCTGATTTCCTGTGAATCTAAAGAGCTCACATGAAACAGTTCTTCATTTTAGCTTAATACCTGCAGCAGAGTAATTTCACATACCGAGCATCCACTTCTCTATTACCAAATTTATCTCATTCTTAAGGATGTGATTGACTGTCGTTGCCTGCTCTATCATCAAATATTAGCATCACACAAGAAAAGCAACAGCTTAGCACTTATACTGAAGCCATTCCCGTGTCAAAAGGATCAGTAAACCACTTCTCATGCCACAAGCCCAACCCTACAGCAGATCAAGCAGTATTTCGTGCAAATATGATGAAAGTAGAGTGTACCTTGATGAGGAAGCTGCATGAAAACTGCAGATTTAGAGCAAGGCAGAGAAGCTTCACAGACACAGAATGAAAGAAAAAACGTAAGTGAATAATGTCCATGACAGGGGGAAGGGAGGGGAAAGGAGAAGAGATGATGATAGGCAAAACATTTACAAACAATGATCTCGCCCGGTTGTTTCCAGATGCAAGAAAAAAAAATTTCATGTATCTGCAACTTAATACATTTGTAACCATAATAAAAAACTCACTTGGTTGAAACTGCCTCTTTAACTCAGTGTGATGAAGTAACTCAGCACTGCTAAATACTTGATTTTCTTGTGCAGTAGTTCTCAAATCAGAGGAAGTGGATGATAGATCTGCATCCCTTATTAGTCCCATGGTTGTCTTGCTGTTTCAAGAAGTCCTGTGGCCTACCTTCATGTTCTATCATCCTTTCACCAGTGATTTTTACCTTGGCAGATATTAGGTCTTTCACTGCTTTCTCCCTCACTCTTGTCTCTACAGTGTAAATGTGCACAGCAATGACAACGCCATCACACACCTCTAGGCACAGTTAATGAGAATGCAAAATTCATGTATGCAGCTATGGAGCTGTATAAAGTGCCAGAAGACCAATTAAATTTTTAATACAATTAAACAGCTTAAAAAGCAAAGCATGTCTTATGCAAAGTTGCATGTTTTATGCAAAGTTGCACTGGTTAACATACCAGTTTAAACTAGGGAAATTGTTTGTTGATTAAAGTGGAGCAACATAATAAACGTGAGATGAAGGAGCAAAATTAAAAGCTCCACGTTGTGACCTGGTCCACAGTTTGAGAAAGCTGGAGATCACCCAAGCAAACCCCAAGTCTTTGTATTCAAATTGCTAGAATGAAGCTGGAAACACCTATAAAGGCTGATTCTTTACAAAGACGCCTCCAGTCTGGTTACACAAAAATGGAACCATTAGTAATCTTCTGGCCTTCATATCGGTCTTTTAAAATTTAATTTCCAAGCAAACCATGCACAGGGTGTCACAAAGGCATTATTACAGACCCACTAGGATCCTGAATCACGTAACAAGTTCACTACTTCCTAACCCCATTTGTGGAGATGGGCTCTTAACCAGCATTTGACAAAAGCCATCTAGTTGTAGAACACTTGGAAGAAGTTTCTGAAGGGCTGGATTAATTCCTTCCTCTTAGCTAACCAAGGAAGAAGGAATAGAAAGTGAGGCGTAAGGGAGGCAGACATTTACATAGCAAAATGCTTTTTTCGCTAGTAGAGGGCCTAATCCTGCATCATCACTTCATCCTTGCAAAAAGCACTGCTGGAGTTGCTACCAATTCTACGTTCTAAAGGGAAAGATGCTGCCCATAATGCACTTATTTTCACACTGACAGCAAGGTCTTTTTTTTCCCCCCCCCTTTAATTTTATCCTTCTCCCTGTTCTAGTATTACAGGTAATTCTTAGCTGAATGTTAAATAAGAAAGTTTCTATCGAACCACTTGCCTCTTCCATAATCTTGGTTCTTATCTGTACCTGCACTCTATTAGGAGTTTTTATACAGAAATATTTCTATATACAGGATAAATTGCGTGACGATACAATACAGCGGCTGCATTATATATTCATAACGTATAATGGCCATTGCAAAAAGTTAAGTGAAACAGCAGTCTCTCAAACTTCTTCAAACTCAACTTTCACCCACTCTTATTACCCAATTCAAAAGGGATTCCAGGACAGCACCAGCGAGTCCCTTTCAGGCCAATGCTCTTTCACTTGTTCTCGGGCAGGAATACAAAACAAGGAAACAACGGCTAAGGAGTGCTATTAATAAAGTAGCAGAGGAAGAGGTAACAATGTGGAAAATATGCTTCACGCTTTCTCTCCTCACTTGGGATAACATTATTTAATGTAATAAATCATCTTGAATTGGCAGTAAACTGGAAAGCAAATCCTGAATGAGTCTATTTAGACTGACAGGCATCTTAAAATATAATTCTGGAACACAGCACCAGTATATCAAGAAGGGGATCTCCCCAGATTTAAACAATTTAAGTTGACTTCTCATACTGGAAAAAAGCAAGTTGTAATCACTTTTCACTGCATGAAATAAAAAAAGAAATCACTCTTCCCAAATTACTCAAGCACAGAGCACAGTTTTACCTCTGTTGCACCTCTGCAATACTCATCATATTCAACAAAAAACACGCATAGCATCTGTGAGCAAACTGGTAATCTGGAAGACCAGAGTTCTTGACTACAGCTAAGTACAACTAAGCAGAGCTTATTTCAGGGCTAGCAGAAACCAGTAAACAACAGGAGAGTGAAAAAAACCAAAACACCTCTGTAAATACTATACCTAAGACCGAGTAGTTTCTAGCCTTGCATCAAGGTTAGAAACAAAGCAGAAATAAAAGGGTTCTTTGACTTCAGTGTTCAGAACTGCGATAGTTAAATCATCATTTAAGAAGTATCAAACAGTATAATTTTCATGACAAAGAAAAGTAAAGAATTTCCTCAATATGAGAGACACTAATCCAAAATCACTTCAGGAAGAGTCTTCATGCAGATTTCTTTGACATAAATTCCATTTTCTTCCTGTATTTAGTTTCCTCTAGCTTATGCTTCATCTGCTATACTGAATAATTTTACTCTTTTTTCATTTTTTCACCCTGAAAACCTATGCTGTTAAATTTAACCTCTGCATCTCCCTGTAATTCCCCTCTCCCCAAGCCAGAAGGAATTTAGTGGTTTTATCCATTTAATGCCTTTAATGACTGTTCTTTTCTTGAACGCCTTCATTTTATCATCAGCATGTTTCTGGCAATAAAATAGTCTGAACTGACCCAGTATTCCACACGTATCTACATGAACATTTTTTTCCTTCAAGGGAGAGTATGACCTCCATGTGATGCTGCCTATATGAGCATTGGCCTTAAATCATACAGTCAGCTGAAACCGAGTCAGCCCAGACACACTCTTCCACAGCACAGTTCTGGATTATTTTTCCTAATATGTGCCACCTTGTAGTGCCCAGACAGGTATTATTCTCCTTGCAAAATATCATGATTATATATTGATATTTACTAATTTTCAAGGCTCCGCTGTTACATATATTCCATATTAAGATGCAGCTGTTATTTGTTCTGATGCACTTAATGCTATTTCCTTCACGTATAATGACTCGGAAGACAGCTTTTGTGCTGGACAAAATCCAACATCTGAAATACAGTGTAATAGCTCAGTAAACAGCTTAATATTCATGTGGTTCACAAATGCAATGATGTTTGATGCATAAACGTATCCAAAGAGACAATGAGACTGAGTGTTTGTCTACAGAAACAGTAAATTCAATACATTTCCCTTACCTAGGTAGTACCAGAACAGCTACTGACCTGGGGAGTGCTGGGAAGTTGCGAGCGAGGTCATGGAATTGGAAAGGTTAAGGTTAGCAGTAATGCTAAGTTGGCTCTGCACTGCGGGAGGATATGGAGATGTGGGTGTCAGGAGAGATTCTTCACTGGTTTCTTCATCAATTCCAGGCAAATACGTGTCAATCAAGGCATCAAGAAACTTCACTATGAGCTCAGCATAGTCTGGGATTTGTGTTTGCTGTGGGTGATTGGGGGGGGGACACAACAAACAAACCATGATTGGTTCTTTTCTTCCTACTTTTCTGTCAATAGGAGCTTTGCCCCAGAACTCACTCTAATATCACACTGGTTTTGCCTGAAAATTTTAAAAAGCGTTCGATGTGAGTATCTGTAAAAACTGATTTGTACTCTTTTCCAGATTAATCTAAATGCACACATTAAAGACCGCTTATAGGTGTAATTTCAGTAGTGCATGGAAGCACAAAGTCAGGAAAGAGGGGCTGTTTCATTCACGAGGTGAACTGCCACAGCTGCCTGAACCCGACACGTTATTAAAAGCACTGCCTGTGCCCCCAAAGCCTAACAGCCCCAACACTGCCTGCTCTGCTCATCTCGTTCTTGTTACGATGACTAGAGGGAACAAATAGCAGTGCAGACGGTCAGTGCTCGATCTATTTGTTCTGTTGTAACAAAGTTTATCCTTATGGAATTGCCATTCTTAGCAAATTAATCCCTTACACTGTAAGACACATGTAATAAACTAAGACTTTCTGACTGATACCGTATGTCCAAGGCCCCTTAGTGAACCTGGGAGCAGTAAAAAGGTGCATTTACACACCTGACTGCTTTTACCCAACTTCGGTAATTTGACCTTCACGAGTCTATCAAAATTCCTGATGCAGGCTCGAAAATTGTTTTAGCTATAGAAGTGAGCCTTATATTACTAACTTGCTCATATAAATTCCATGACTTGTCATTTATCTGCCTCTTTCCTGGAGCACCAATGTGCTTTATACAGAAAATGAAGGCAAAACACTCACAAACTTATATATGGTGTACTGTTCTTACCTTAGAAAATGGGCCAGCAAACCTCCATAACCCATTAAATCCAAAACCTACAACAACAAATTGAACGTTACCACTAAAACACAGTTCTCAATTGACAGAAAACAACTAGAAAGTACACATAGCTCATCACTGGGATTTACTTAGGCATGGAAATGAAATATTTTGATTTGGCGATGCAACACTAAATGTTGTCCAAACCATGTATAAGGTATTATGGCATTTTAATTTGTATATGAAATACATAAGCTGTAAAAACCTTGAAATCTTACAACTGTCATGTGAGAAATTCTTGATGGTATTTTAAAAAGTAAATTTAGCATGTGAATATGCATCTCATTTTAAAAATTATGTCAACATTTAAGTTTTTCTCAACTGTCATCTGTTTCTTATGGATCTTCCTGGAAAGTTTTGGATTAAGGACCACAAAAAAATATTTAGGTTTTAAGTGTTTAAGTGTGACATGGAAGTGAGCTTGGGCACTGAAAAACAAACATTACTCTCTGGAATTTACCAACAATTAAGTCAATCCCTAACTTACAAGGTTAACTTAAAACTCACCATTTATCACCACCATTCATGTTTTGTATTTCTTTAAATTGGTTAGTGGAAACAGAATACTGAGTTTCAACTTCTTTTTACTCACGTAGATGGTGTCATACTTTTAATATTTGGTGCACAACTGCAGCAAGCAGTTTTAACATTCATGTCAGTACAGTTTTTTTAATAAGCGAACTCTTATTTTTACTAGGATATATGAAGTTGGAAAGATGGCACACAAGACTGACTGTTCTGTTAGGGTTGCAATAATTCTGAAACATTTTCAGTAGTAAATCTAACTTTTAAAATACAGCAGCTTAAAAAAAAAAAAAGGAAAATATTTACTCTGTAGATAAGAGGTTTGGTATTGGGGTGGAGACTCTTCATGGTAGACAACACTCTGAACAATCCCATGAATTGGATTCAACAAATTTGGATCCTGGCACAGCGATAAAAGGGTATTGATCTTGGAATCCAATAAATTATGCCTGAAGAAAAGAGAAGTGGCTTATTTTTTGTTCATTAAATAAAATAAATCTGCAGTTCCCAACTGACTTTAGCAAACGGCAGTTAAGGTGGGATTTTCAAAATCTCGGTCATTTTAGAAGTACAAAACTACTCCTGTATATGTTCAGTGTGGACTCTTATGATGGGTAACACTTTCAAAAAATTGTACTAACAATATAACCCATTAAAGCATCTACCTAGCACTTTAAATTGCAAATATTTTAATTATTTTCAATCAAAAAATTATTCACTGGATTTGTGGACATGTCAGAGCTGGAGTTTCAAAGCAGTTTTTTAAACTCGTGGGGCTACTGTCTCATTTGAGCTCCCTTGCAGAACTCATGCACGGGTTGTTTTGGTTTTGTTTTTGGTTTTTTAATACAAATGCCAGTTACTTGCAGTTGTGATTGGAATAGCTCACAGCACTTGGCTGTACTTTGGCCATTACTTTATAAAGCCAGAAAAAGGTAGCACTATTTCTAAGTCACACACAGGTCAGTTTTAAAAGTCTACTCATGTTAGTTTCTGATAGTTGGGTTTCCCTTACATATACTGACTCCAGCAAATACTACTTTTAACTGATATCTAAAGAAATACATCCAAAGAGTATCTTGAACTATGCTTTAAATCAGTTTTGATATGCACTTGGGGTACTAATTAAAAAAATCTGAGTCTGACTGGGGTGAAAATAATACGTAAGAGACAGTATATGTTGACTTGTATAGAAAGCTACATGAACATTTTAAAATGTAATTTGCTTCTCTGCAGTATCAAAGAAGCGATAAAGCCATGCTAAGTCCCTAGACTAGAGTAACGGCAGCAATGATGCCGTTGGCTGTACAGACAGGCTCCCTAGCAACAGCGATACAGAGTTCTCCCACGCTCTGCCAGCCTGCCTGAAAATCTGAGGCTGAAGAGTGCTTTTGAGGACCATCTGTAGCAGTGGTATCTGAGGATGCCTATTCTAGTAAGGACATTATATTCATTTAACACAGGGAAAAAGCACAATTCTCGAATTGCTATGGACATTTGTCTGAACAAGCCATGGACAGATCGCAGCTAGTAACCTACAAATGAGTAAGCATCTCACACATGCTTGTCCTGGTCCGGACACCTTTTAAAGGAAGGGCCAAGTACACAGTCGTCATAAACAGAGCTTTAGGTACTTACACAACAGGAAAGACCTTTGGGAAGACAACACTGGCTTCTGCTAAATACTCATACAGAATCCGCTGGTCAAACTCATCAGTAGTGTACTTCACTAACGTTGCCTGTCATAATGTAAAGGATTAAATTAGCATGCTTCTAATTTAATTTGAGTAATTATAGGCTTTTGCTGTTGTTGTAGTTTAAGGTTTTAAGATTTCTGAATAGCAGAAAACAGCATTACAAAAGATTAACTTATGCCCTCTTTGGACATGGAATCAAGTTATTTTATGTGTATGTGAGAAACAATAAAAACAGTTGGTAATAGCTTCTATTTTGGCAAAAAACATAGCTAGTCAGTTTTTGACAAAAGTGGGCAACTGAGTCTTTCTGAAGTATATCAGGAATGGTAACTGTATTGGTACATCTGAAGAAAGCACTATCATACTGTACACCTATATTACTAGTTAATTATTTTTAAACTGAATTATGCTGGGATTCCAACAATTTTCCCTTCTTAACTTTTTAAGTATAATATATTAATATCCTTTTATTATATAAAATTAGTTTGTGATAAAAATCTGCCGGGAAAAAGGGACAATTGTTGGACATGTTCTACAAAACAATACAGAATAATGAAAATTCAGTATTTGCTCTCAAAGAACATTTAAATACATTTCTAAAAGTGATTCCTAGAAAGTTTGAAGAACGGCAATAAAAGAATAGACTTGCAGATCACTGATTCTGATCCATATGAATTTAGAAACACTGCAAGGAACACATGCTTCTTTGGAAGATAAAAGAGTATCAGAAAATAACAGACAATACACAGAAAGAGGGCTTACAAGAACTGTAAGCAGCAGTGCCTGAATTTTTGGGTCAGTCAGAACTTCTTCATCTAGGAGGACATTCGACTCAGAAACAGAAACTTTTCGAAGATGTGGGTGTTGCTGCGGTGATATTCTCTGGGTTTCTGCCAGATAAAAAAGAGCAACTCATCCAAAGCAAAATAAACCCAAACCGAAATAGAATTAGCTCTTGCACAACAAATTCAGTCACACACAAACTTCAGAGTTCACCAGCCTTTTCATAAAGTATAAAAGCAACAACTATGCTGTAATACTAGCAGCGCTAGATCATTACATGGGATGTATTATCAAATGGTAAACAACAACCCCAATTTCCTATTCAGTGAAATACAGGCCCAGGGGTGGTAAGTACCGTACTCAGGGTCAGGCAGCAGACTGACATCAGATACAACAGAAAAACCCTGGTCTTGCATTGCAATTGGGGATGGGGGCACAGGAAGCAGATGTGGGAGAAGATGAAGAGAGGCATTCTAGGCATTGGGTCACGTTCCATCTCCTGTAGTAATTTGCAGCTAGGACTTATTAACTTATAAAAAGCCAAATTTTAGTTATTTCATTTCAGTCCTGTATGGAGTACTTTATAGCTGCCCCTTATTCTGCATCTGCAAACTGAGCAACTCTAACTCAAACCTCAGTTGCCAGTGATGTGGAAGACTGTACTCTCCAGAAGCCACTGTTAAGAAAGATATTTCTCCCTTACCTTGTAGTAACCTCAGCAAATAAACATTGAATTTAGAAATAATCCTTTGTATATATATACAAAGCATTTATAATTAGCATTATTCTTAAAACGTTAGTCCTGTTTCTCACCCATTTCATAATCATTTTCGGCTACTCTCCTCATTTTGGGAGGCGTTGTGATTCCAGATTCCATGTCTTGCCTTTTAGGAGCCTTTGTGTCCGATATCAAATGGTCAAAACTTTTCCTTGTACCTAAAAACAATTTATCAGGCAATTAAAAACATTAAACCTAAATCCATATTCTAACTATTTCTGATTTTCTGTCCAAGCTACTCTCCTATCTACAACGTATTGATCGGAATCTGGGGACATTTTCACCATTTTCAGGGATGGTAGAGAAAATACGATCACACCATGCCGCTCTCCATCACAGTTTCCAAAATGCTTCACAATACGTATGAGGAAAGCATGCAATTTATTCAAATATGTAAGCTGCGGGCATGCTATGGTTTCCTGGTCAACACATCACATCGAATAAACATGCCAAAATGTGATTACTGAAAAGGAAGCAGTAATAGGATTGTAATGAAAGAAATGCCCCTTTTCTTCCATATATACCATATAACGTAAAAGGGTAACCACAAGTTATGCAAAGCAACTCATCTTGTTTCTCTGATATTAAGACTTTGCTTGTGAACACGATGCACTGAGAAGCCATGAATAAAAATCAGATTGCTTCCAAAACATCTAAAATGTTTTGGGACCATCTCTTCTAGCATAAGATAGAGTATTCAATATAGTAGCTAAGCTAAGGTATTCAGCTTCTTGGTTTTGTTGAAAGAGGGCTGGTGGCAGAAAACTGGCACTATGACTCTTTAGTATCTGGAATATCTCCCTCCCCCCCCTTTTTTCTCCACTTCAACATGCACATTTTGAGTGTCACTCTCGCTTCCCCGCCCTTCGTGATCAAAATAAATAAGTTAGTCCTCTTCAACTGTGTTCTCTAATTTGTATTTTGTAGAAACTGCATTCCCTCTGAATCAGGAATAAGCACTTAAAGTCAGAATAAATACAGGTACAATTTTTCTCCAGTAACACTTCCTGAGGTATTCTATAGACAAATTAGTAAATTAGTTATCTTAATAACCTAGAAGCTTTTTAGTGTTCGCTTGTGAAGGCTGCCCCATATCCAAACTCATGGATTTTCGTGTTCGAGGGCTTATCTGTCCCACTGTCGGGTAACTGGCAGCCAGATGTCTGTCTGACCCCTTTGGTGATGACCATGGTTGATTTTCCTTTAGTGTCCTGAAAGTGCAGAGAAATTAAATTAAGAAAATCTTTAAAACTGTGCACATTTAGGCATAAATTTTTCAACTAGCCAAGCTAACATTTATTAAACCCATCTTTCCTAACAGGTTAATCTCCCAAAAATACAAGTTAAGAAATAGTAATTACTTTGCTTGCAAAAATGTTCGAGCTAGTGATAACTAACAATCTGATATGAATGTAATGATCAAGAGATAAAAAATAAAGCAATGAAAAGAACACAAGCAAATGAGCCTATGAGGCAAGATGAAAGGTATTTAATAATCAGCTACTCCATACTGGATGCTAAAAAGAGAGATATCGAGTAAAGTGCTCCCTGTTGAGAGAAACTGGCTCTCCATGTCACTTCTAGGTTGATTTCCTAGCTTATCTCTGTGGCTGCTTATAGACAAGACTATAAGGTGTCAAGATTTTCCAATGACACAAACCAAGTGATTACCTAGTACATGCCTTGAAGCTCCTAAAAGGACAAACTAAACTTTCATCTAAAATATAAATGAAAAATGAGGTGAAATTTGGTCTTGTAGAAAGAGGTTATCAAAGAGTTTAAGAACCTCCAAAGCAGTTAAGCTCTGAAATAGCTTTACAGATCTCAAAATTAAATGTATAGGAATCTGATACCCAAATTTTTCTGTGAATGTTGATCCCAGTATCACAGTGTAAGTAGCGTATTGGTCTGGAACCAATAACAGAACATTAACTTAGCTTTATGAATGTGGGTTTCAGTTTTCAATATACCACAGGTTACCTTTAGGTAACTTATTACAGTGAACAGACATTGAAATATGGATAACTTATCTAAAAGTTAGACAACCAACCTATAGCTAGTGTCACTGTGATGTATGGGATATGTATCCATAGGAACATTTTCCATTGAAACATCTGTCAATAAGAGAGACTTCCTATGTTTTAGACTGCAGCGACTTCGAACTTCCTCAGATACTGTCAGCAAAGCTAAAAATTCAAAGAAAGCTAACGTAAGTTTTCCACAGTAGGAATACATTGAAGAATGTAAGCAATATTCCATCAATTTAATTTTTTTACTTAATATGAAGACGACCATTGAGATGTAATTACACATTACCGAAACATACAGATTAAAAGTAGGTGATTTAAAAAGAATTATATTCCCCATCCAGTTACATGATTTAAACATTTGCCCTCACACGGTCACAATTTCTATTTCTAGACCACTAGAAATTTCAATGTTTAAGGCACGCACTTAAACCAAGAAACCTGCAGCCTCCCTGAAGTATTTTCAAAGTTGCACAGTAGGTCCTTGTGCTGGAAAGCCTTCAGTCCACAAAAAGCTTTAACTGATGTACCCCAGCCTAGCCCAGACTTGTCCATCTGCAGTTACAAGTTTCCTTTATGTTGGTACAATTTTATCAACCTAAAACCATAAGAATTCCCACAATAATCCATTCCTTTTCAGTTAGCACAAATTTAAAAGAATGTTTGTTTGTTTAATTTTACCTGCTAGGTAAGCCACACTCTGGGTGTTCACCTCAAACTTGTCACAGTTCCTATGTTTGTTAACCAGAGCTAGTAGTGTATGTAAAATCCTTACTGTTCTTGCTACAGTGGTAGGTGAAGGATGCCTGTACCCTAAGAAATGAGGTTAAGAAACCAAATACTGTATTTAATTTTAATGCATATTTATGAAGCATTAATTTTTTGAGAAGATTTATAAATATTTTTCGGCATGTTCTCAGGAAACTTCATGTAAAGGGTGAGGAAGCACAATGCTAACAGAAATTGCACATTTAAGACTAACAACTTCTGTCCCTCCCCCCCAAAGTCACATAATTTCAAATGCCTGTGCATATATTATATCTATTATCTCACAAATCAATCTTCTAAAAGAAACAGTGAGCCTGAACACAAGCAAACACACAGAGAAAGACAGCATTCTTGGACAAAGTAGTAAAGAACATGTCTACGGGAAACCCGGCAAAGTCCTTTAGTCAAAGAACATTTAATTCTGTATCTATTCTGTGATCCAAGTTACTTAAAATCCACCACCCATTCTTTCCCCGTAAGCCCTGGACTTGTTTTTATTTTTGAATTAAGAGTGTTCATCTAAAATGAACAGCAATATGCATTCTTACCTTTCAGGAGGTGTCCCACTAGTGCAAAGTTAAAGTTGGAGTTGAAATTTAGCCCAACAAAATGATCCATCTGCTTGCAGTGCCATTCGAGTGGCCTCCTGATCTCCATAAACACCTCTTCTGGGCTCTGACCCAGAAAAAACAAAATACAGGAGTACCTCATCACAAGTTACTCATCATATCTCAAGTTGGGTTTTTTTTGTTGTTTTTTTGTTTTTTGTTTTTTGTTTTTTAAAGTGACAAAACAGTAATTTTGATAGTTTACGTGACAATAGCGCAAACACTCTTGATTAGAACACATCTATACATTTCTGTTCCAGTTTAGAACAGAATAGCAAGAGCTTCATCTCTACATCTTAGTTTCACGGTTGATATAACACAAGTGAAACAATCTCTAACGCAAATTTCAGTTTTAGTTGCTTAACTACTGTCCATGAGGACACGGAATTTTTTTTTTCTTTTTTAACAGATCTAACTGCTTACATAAACGAAAGGTTAGTCACAGCTGACTGCTGACAGCTTACCTTATCATTGAATACTCGAAGGCTATCCAAGGTATGCAGATTCTGTTCAAGTAGTGCTGTACCTGCTGAGTACAAGTTTACTTCGTCTAGCTGCAGTACTGCCATAGCTACCCAAAAGAGGGCCTTGTGCATAGGAGAGTCCTAGAAGGAAAAAGAAAAAGCCACGATTTCACTTTCAAGTCAGTTCCTGTAAGTCAAAGACAAGTAAGACTGACACGTGGTTTTGCATATGCATTACTATCCTTCCTGTAGCAGGTTCTGTCTTCAACCATATCCATTCCGTCAATACAGATGTACATGTCAACTGTCGTCTTAATGCACTTAACGGGTGAACAGTAGAAAGCAAATGAATTTCAAGCCTTTCACCTCCCCTAAAGTCGTTCCTTCTCTCTTATATTCCTTCCCTTGCTCACAAAATGTCAGACTCATATTGCCCTACACCAGACTGAACAGAAATGTGTCTTCTGTTCTCAATTTGAATGCACATGTTGAAAATGGATTGCAATTCTGCACAGATAACTGGCCAGGCAATTTCTTCTCCAAATCAAAAAAGCACGCAGGAAGAATTGGCATTCAACAGATTCTGGGTCTCTTAAGCAGCAGATTTTTCAAGGCACAAGTTTTATTTACTAACAGTAAATATATGGGGCTCTTCATTAACAGCATACCCATTGGTATGCTGATCAAATAATGAACATGAAAGTAATGTATGGATGGCTACCTTAATACCAAATCAGGTAAGACGAACATTTATTACAAGCCATGATCTGAAAAGCATGTATTAACAATCAAACATTTGAAAGCAAAGACCGAAAATCTTTTGGAAAGCATTCCGACAGCCCGTGGTAGGGTCATTGCCTATATTGCTGTGGCCCAGTTTGATGAAGCAGAACAGCACATTCTAAACCATTTTTAAAGCCTTTGCACAGGTCCCACATAGAAACACCGGTGACGTATTTCCCATATGTAGTACTTTCGAGCATGAGTCATAGCAGTGAAGTGTGAACTTCAGATACCACAACGCTTACTTATATTTTTGAGATTATACCCATAATCATAATTTTCATTTACAAAATACGTTCTCTGTTTACTCTAAAAATCCAGTTGTTTACCTTATTAAGAAGAGGCTGCAGCTTGGTGAGTGCTATAACTGTAGCTTCTATTAGAACTTGGCTATTGTAATTATCAGGGCCTTTTAAACAGCTCTCAAGTCCCTTTTTGTAGGAAAAAAAGAGTAATTAAAACACAACCATAACTAGATTTTGCTTTGTAAAAAGATGATCAAAACTCTAAACAAGAATTGTTGCTCTCAACTAGTTTACAAAGCTTGAGCTCATTTTAAACCAATTCTCAAGGACTTTTACAAATGGAGATTTACACAGAAGTGATACATGTATTGCTGAAAGCAATTGCACAATGTGTATTAAGAAAAGTAAGCATGCAGGACAGGGTGCAAGAGTTAGAGAATAGCTCTTTTACAATTTGGATGCTGTTCAGTTAAAGTTTATGTCCATAAAACTCTAATAAAATGCTGAAAGGAAACATATTCAGCACACTGTTTACTTGCTACAGAACACAACCGTCTTTAGAAAATATGGAACATCATTACCAAGCCAGGCAGTCGGTTTCAAAATTTTCTTATGTAAATGCCCTGCTCTTTATTGTATTTACTTACAACACGTTAGATTATTAACGTCCTTTAAAAAACAGTTGTGAATCATGTGCATGCAGCTAAATACCTTAACAGAAAATTTTGCTTTTATTTAAGTACTGACTTCTGGATCAATCTCAGTGTCTCAAATTTTAAACTCAATATTGAAAACTACTGTTACTCTAGAAGTCGCAACACTGATGAAACTTATTGCCACCAAATCGATTTAAGGTATATGGGTCTATTACCTTGCTAAGAATTCGGATTATTTGTTTTATTTGTCCATGAGAGACACGTTTACTTATACAGCCAAAGACAACAAGTGCTCTTGGCTGCAGGGATGGGTTATATTGGAATGCAAACCTGTGAAGAAACAGAGTACAGTATATTAAACAAACAAACAACAAATAGGCTGTATAACGAGAAGTTGAAAATTCTAAATATACTACACAGGCGGGCAGGGATTATATTTTGAGATCTACAACATACTTTTGAGCTAGTTCAGTCCACTGGTCCAGCCACTTGCATGTTGGAATATCCCTCATACAAGCCTAAAAAGAATTATATTGTTTGAATACATGTAACATTAAGAAAAAGTCTTTTTAAAATTCAGAATGTGCAGGTTTTTTAGTTCTCAGAAGTCAGCCACTTAACTATGTATTACCACATCATGGGAGGTACATCTCACTACACTGCTTGCCCGTAGAAAGTGTAAGCAGTGCCATTTTCCCTTGTGGATAATTTGTTTTGTTTTGAACCACATACCTCCATGATCTCCAGCAAAGCTTCAGTAACAGTTTCCAACGAAGTCAGTGCGAAAGTCTCCCTTTCATAGGAACCAGGTGAAAACGACCTGTCTCGATAGCTGGATCGGAACGCTATGACCGCGGCTGATTTCACTTTGCTGATTCCAAACAGCAAATAAAATTTGGGCAGAGAGAACTCAGTCAAGCTCAGCCTTAAAACTTGCTTGGTCTCCTCTGTTGAAAAATTTTTACATATTAAATTTAAACTACTGAAATCCAATCCATATTTTCAACACTTAGGCTCACCCTCCCATGAATACAAAAGTAGATAATAATCCTGTATGTCACTTTGCACATTCCAATACTGTTTTCTTTGCTACTCCTCCCAGAGTATGCCACAAGAACTGTGGTCTGTTGCATAGACTGTTGAAACCAGTCACCAGGAAGATGCATTCTAAAAACAGGTAGAAAGAAACTTGTTTAAAGATGTGGTTCCGTGAGACTTCTCCTCACATTGGTTCAGAAAATGGAAACCTGGAGAGCTCCTGCTTTGAAATACCAACAGTACTGTAAGTTCAAACTGCAGTCAAATTCTGCTTTTGGCTCTGGCACTAAAATGAAGAAAGCCACTTAAATCAGAAGATGACGGCCCTGCTACTAGCACTAAGTATTTTTACAATTCTGAACTTTCATTTCATTTCAGTGTACTTCAAATTCATTGTTTGAACAGGAAGGCTTGCCCTTCTCTCTGTGCATCAAAGCTTTTCTTTATACATATATATGTGTGTGTCTGTGCATATTCACACATTCACTCTGTCGATATACATAGATATAAAATGAGCTTTCAGATACTTAAAAAAAAGACAAGATTACATAAACCTTTAATTTTTTTCTGCACAAAATCTAGCATGGTTTTATACTGTACTTCTGTGGTAAGAAGTGACAGCTACATATTTGCTAATACTAATTATTTTAGGACTGCTAAAATAAAGCAGTATGCAAAAATACCTGTTTTAACAGTAGAGTTTCACAATTCCCTTATGTAATTGATATTTTTGTTACCACATTATGCAATCATTCAGAAGATGCACATCAGCCAGTTTTAGCACAGACGTATTTTCTCCTTTCTCTGCATTACAGGAACTTACTGGTACTTTCTTCTCTTTCTCTAAAATCCGTTATACAAACAATTTACATTATGCACCTGCTCTAAACCAGATAGTCATTTTTTAATTCCATACTCATTTGTTGTAGATCATATCCTCATTCTGGTTTGTACACAAGCTGAATTACAACATGGTATTTTCAAACTCTCAGAATAAAGAGAGAAAGACAACTCAAATATTTCTTAAACAAGCTAAGGAGCGATCAGCTTAATTGAAAATCTGAAAAAAACTTACCACTAAAGTGAAGCTGTGAACAAGTGCAAAGAGAATGAATGATGTTGATGACGAGACCATGAGTGGAAGCTCTGAGAGAAAGGGGACCAGTGGCCACCAATAAAGTAACTACGTGAAAGAGGTAGGGGAGATGTGCTGCCACATCCAGAGAATTGTTAAAGGAGAGCATCAGCATGTAACGTGCTAGAATAGCAATATCATCCCACATCAGGTGCTGTTCCAGTGTAGGAGTTGGAGACAGACAAGTCTTGTCAATTATTTTACACATCCTTCCAATCACCTGAAAAGAGAGCAACCATTTTGTTTTACTCAAACGAAGAGCACAGCTCAAAGTTTCATTAAAAACCATTACAATTTAACATTGGAATTATTCTATGGCGTGGAACCTATTTTATCATCGTTTTTGCATTATTGCCCGTACTGAGTTATCAGAAAGCATCTCAGTGTCACATTATTATGTAAGTTGAAATTATTATACAAAAGGAACTTAAGACAAAGAAAGAACTCACTTTGCTTGAAACCAGTTTTACGTTTCCAGAAGCAAGCGCTACGGCTGTGTCTGCCATAACCTCAGCTTTTATAGACCCTAAGCCCCCTGTGGCACTCGTTTTGATGAAACTGTCCAGCACTACATCAAGGAGATCTGTTATCTGTTAGACGAAAAAAAAAAATCTTCTTTATCAGTCAGATTAACTTTATTTTTCCACAGTAAACTACCATTTAAATAAGCAATCATTCATTTTTTTTAGTTGAAGATGCATAACTACCATAAATTGAAGCATCAGTTTTACTGATTCGTTATCCTTTTGGAAAAAAGTCTAATGTAAATATTAGAAGTATAAAGATTAATTCCATCAGGCCTTACTCCAGATCAAAGTGCTTCAGAACTGTGGAGAAACTATAATTTAATTTGTATTATTTTTATTTCTTTTTCCATTTTAAAGTATAACTATTCATAAAATGCTGAACCTAGTAAGAAGACACTGGATTTGAAGTGGGGGGAAAAAAAACATACTTCCAAGAAAATAAGCAAGATCTCATCTGTCAAAGATTTTGCTTAGAGCACTAGCCATGCATGAATACAGCTACAAGTAAAACAAGTTTCTTCTCACATTAAAAAAAAAAAGACATTTCATATATGCAGGCAAGAATAAAATCTGTCCAAGTGTACAGAGAACTCTAAATATAACATGCAGGCTAAGATTAATGTTATTTCAGTATTGGTTCAAATTCAGCTCTCATTATATTATGAAAATTGGCTGAAATTCTGGGTCAACTAAGTCAATGATAAAACTTCCACTGACTGCTGTGGAGTATTTAATCTTTTCATTTTGTGTTCTCCATATTTACCTGTCAACAGACTTTCATACGGCACATAATAGTCATATTGCTCTCAATGTGATTTAAGCTTTCAAAATACATTGGTTTTGGTTTTTTTTGCCAATTGGACCAAGCAAGAAAATGCACTCATGCATCCATCTGACAGTTCTCCCACATTCTCCAAGAGCAGCTTTGTGATGCTGGGCTGCATCAGTTTGGATGACAGTTAAAAAAAATAAAAATAGTATGACAATGAGGAAGTTGATACAAAGCTTGTGAGCAAGCCTGGTCACGGCAAGTAAAGCTGGTCTCGTTTGTCTAGACACCTCCTTCATGAATGGCATATATGACGTCAGCTTTATTGTTTTCATCTTCTTCACTTTGCAGGGAGGATGAGGACAGAATTTGGCTAAGTGTTAAGCTCATGATCAACAGGAGGATTGATATTCTATTGATTGTAATCAAAATGCATCTGTTTCAAAAGTGCAAACAGAAAAAAAAAGCAGCATTCTTTCAATGCCACGTGCCTAACACACCTCTGAATGCTAGTACTTTGTTCTTTCCATTCAGTACCCGTACATTCAGTGGTTTTGATGAAATAATTTCTACTAATCGAAATAACTACTACTAATACCAAAGACACTTATTTTTCAATTCACAGTGGGGCCAGGAACACATTCCTAGAAGCCAGAGTTCATTAATGATTTTATGAAGTATTTTATAGAATGGAAACTTTAGAAGAACTTGCACACTACTCTCCATACAGCTAATGAACTTAGGTCATGTCGAGATCCATATTATTTTTCTGCATTAACATTTAAGTGGTTAAAAACTCTATAATCTGCTTATAAACAAATTGCAATAAATTATGCAGATTTGTACCTGTCCAAGACTTCCCCATATCTTAGCTTGAATGGAAGGATACATCTGTTTTTCATTTATTGTCATTGTTATAAGCTTATCAAGAATAGCAGTGACTCGCTGGCGCTTAGCATCATCATTGTGTTTACAGAATCGGACCAGATTGGACAGCCAGGGAGTCATATACTCCAGACAAAGATGTTTCAGTTCAATACCTGAAATAAAAATTCACCTTGTAACACAGAATCAGCACTGGTCTCTATTTATAATAATTATTTGTGAGCACTTTTCCTTTCAGTTTTATTGTTGAAAATAATTACTATCAGAGCTGAGCAAATAATACTGGGCAAACAGACAAGCTTCAAAAAGAAACATACTCTAATAATGACATCCAAGAAACATCTGTAGGAATCTGGCAAGGAGATGTTGACATTTTAATATCTTATTAAAAGATGTGACATAAAGATGTGTACAATCAGTATTAGGTGGGACTACTTAAGATAATTGCTTTTTCATCTTGAGAATCTGTTTATTCTCAACAGCTTCCAACAGTAAAGTCAGAGCTGTATTATGCCTGGAAAAAAAAGCATGACAAAAGTAGTGCAACAGAACCAGTTTTACAATTGAGAGATATAATCAATCTGAAAAGATTAATTTTGATATGACTAAAGAACCCTGTAACTCTTCTGTGTACGTATATTCTAGAGTTCAAATCTTCACTATCATGGACCTCAAATTTTGATTTTTGTTCTGCAATATTCTCTACTTCTGGTGAATTAGTAACAGCCCAATAGAAATCTATCCAAAGTACTCACTGTACAAAACTATCAACAGTGATATGAAACAAATAACTTGTATTGTGATCTCTCTGAATGAACGTAATCCTCTAAATGAATGAGATGTTAAAACAAGTTTTACTAGACATTAATTTCAAAGTTTAAAAAGGCAGTTGCCTTTTTTTTTTTTAAATCTACTTTATGAGAAAGGAAAGGGCACATTCAAATGTGAAAAGTAATGTTTTTGCTCCAACAGATGCCATTCCAGTTTGTGAAACTGCCTGGTTTCAGAGTATTGCATAACTTGATTGTTAAGAAACAGATAAATGGATCATCTTGAAAACAGCTGAAACAGCTCTAAGAAGCATTTGCAATTTAAACTTATCATGACTTAGTAAGATGAGGAAGCTTAATTGACTAAGCTAGACAGTTACCAACTTAAATCTGTTCAAATTCATGGTTAGCATTAAGGAATACTAGTGTTACTTACTAGATTTGCTAAATCCAGAAATACACTCTTCCAAGAACTCTAAGGTAAGGTGTGGTTCGTTAGCTGCAAGAGTCTTACTAATAGATACAATAAATAGTGTGTTGTTGGCAGGAATACACAGACCTGAAGTTTCCAGTAACTGGCCCTCAATCTTTAAATTAAAGGTACAGGTTAAGGCACATAGAAGATTATAGGCAGCAGACCTGTAACAAAGCAAGCAACGTGACTTGTAATTGTTTTCTTGTACATTTTAAAATATATGCATTACACCAAGGCATCACAGTAGTAGTACTGACATTTTAAAAATTAAATCAATACTGCTATAGAAGAGATTACATTTAAATCCTGAACTTTTTCCCTGCACCAGTTAAGATTCAGGCAACAACATTTGCCTTGGAGAAATGAAAGAAACTACTCCTCCACTTGCTTTAAACAATTTTGGATGAGGTTAGAGAGTATGCTTGAAGGACTTTGTACTGGACTTCTCAGACAGGCCTTTGGTGCCAGGAAATTCTAAATATTTCCAGGTGCACCTGAGCTGCTGGGAGAGAGACCGCCAAGGGCCCCAGAGGTTGCCATTGAGCCAGTAACCCTTCTGAGGTAGTCCTTTCAGACAAGATCCAAGAGCCTGCTCTAAGAGGTACAGCTCCCACGTTATTAAACAGCAAGTTCAACACCACGAAAATCAAATGTATCTAATAAACATATATTGCAAAGCATAAGTATTTCTCTTCATAAAGAGAAATTAAGCTTCCTATATGCCTTCAGTTACCCTGACAGTATGTATGCCTTTCTTCACTTACAGAAAACCCAATCTTTCTTTATATTAAAAAGTACATTTTATTGAGTAGTGGTGACAGAAAAATTGTTTTGTTCAAGACAGATTTGTTAACACTAAGAAAACCTTGGAAAGAATTCACATTTTTGACCAAAGTTGATATTAATTTAAAAGATCTGTACCGCAAACTGGGGTCCGAGCTTCCCAGGTTGAGCAGCGCTATGTTCAGTAGTGTTCCAGGGACATCCTTAGGACGAATTTTAGTATGCTGTGGGATGGAGTCTGGTTGTGACAGCTCCCACCGTGTCCGTATATGAATGATGGACCTAACGATGGCTTCACACTCCTGATGCATGAAGGTGAGTGGTGTGCCTTGGTTGGCAATGGTTAAGGTAAACTGGTTCTCATCAACAAGACATATTTCCTCAATTTCAGAGGCATAGTATATATCATTTAAAAACACTGTTTGTCCCAGGACTCTTGTTCGTTCCGCTGACGTCACCTGCACAGCTGTCGACCCAACCTGAGAAAGAGAACAGAAAAATGGTTCAGTGCCTATTGTTAACAATACAGAGAGAGAAAAGTCTGACACTTCTACTTTTATAAAGATAAATGTATGAAATTTTATAATTCCTAAAGAGGCATACTAATAAGTTGTGATTTCTCCTCAAGACAGGAGAGAAGAATTAAGAGACAGTAAAATCGTATTCAAAACCTTACAAAAATACAACAATTCACTAGGAACAGCATTAAAAGGACTTACTTTAATAGAAACTTTGGTGTCTTTATGAGCCAGTTTGAGAGCATTGTGAAACACTTTCAAGTCCTCCTCCAAAGCCAAGGTAGCTGCTGGGAGTTTCTGCTGGTCATGTTCGATGTGCTCTGCCAGTTTCCCTGGAGAGTCTATGAAAATAAGCCTTTTGCTTCCTTTCAAACCTGTCAAGAGCCTTTCATGGTATTTGGTGTATTCTCTGACCCACGAGTTACAGTTATAAATAAAAACTGCTGAGACATTTTCATAAGCAAAGCCTGGAAAAACTACAAACCATTTAGAAAGAAAGTCTGTTTTAAAGCGATTACTGGGGCCAGCGTGTGTGAGGTCCACTACAATTTCATATGGCTTTGCATAGTATGGCTTCAGAGTTAGCAGTACATGGTATATCAATAAATCTCCGTTGATCTGACCAGTCTTGAATCTGTAAGAAAACAAGACAGACATTGTTGGGTTTGCTTTTTAGATCCACGCTACAAACATCTGAGTGGTCTATTACACATACTACTACTAAACTAAACCAGACTGATCTTTCACGTAGTTCTAAAAATACCATCAATCCAAAGCAATGACGCTGGACTGGCAGCTACAGCCTCAAGTTACTATTCTGTCATGGCTCAGACTCCAACCAAGTTTAGTGCCCAGTACGATGAAGCTTGACTCGCAATTTAACTCAACTTCATTTTGAAGTGCCACGCAACCTACCACAGCCAAGCAACCTCCAGACAGACAGGAGGTTTATTCAGCTGAAAGGAAAAACAATCCATGCTGGAGAGCAACAGTGCATCAATTGGATCAAAACTGGATTACATGGAAAGAGCTCAGAGCTTCTTTAAAAATAAGAGTAAAGTGTAACTGTCTCAAACTAACTCTCTAACCTCTCTAGAGATTCAAATTATATCTACTTTTATATGTGGAAAAATAAATTTATTTCAGAATTCATAATTAAGCATCCACATACCAACTTTTTCAAAGGGTCTCAAACTCATGTCATTTGCTATATACTGCAGCACACTCTAACGCTTGGTGGGGTGTTTCTAAGAATGGTCAGTCCTCTGAGTAGTACAGAGGATTTGTCTACAAAATAACTCTTTCCAGAAAAACATTCAGATAATATATAAATATTAAGAACCTTTTGTTCTCGTTTAATCATTCTCTGAATTTTATGAGACTGGACAGCGCAACTACCTAAACCAAGTCTCCAGAGTCAGCATAGCAGAAAAAATTCTACTAGGAAGAATTAATTAAAAAAATCAAACTCAACAGTAGCTCGTGAACACCTAAGGTACTTTCAAATAGCTGTTAATGTTTCAAACTAGCATTAACTCAACTCATTCAAGGCAAGTCAACAGGCTACGGAAAGAGCTAATAAATACTGTAAGCACGTACGTAGTTTTGAGTGTACTGGGACACTGTTTTTGATAACATTTGAGGTAAACCGCCTGAGCGTAGGATAACTGAGGAGATAAATTTCATGAAGATAGAATATTTGTCTGCCGAAGACACTTCCCCCCCGCCCCCGTGTTACTTCCTGTTGTTCTGAGAGCTAATTTGGGCAAGTTGGTGTTTTTCCCCCTCTAACGTGTCATGGTATAGTTGTTACAAAAAGGAAGTGTGTCATCTCGTGGTTTTAGTTCTCCTCTTAGAGTAAACGATGTATAATTTCAGTTACAGATTTGCTTAAAAAATACCAGCATTGTCTAAATCTACATGCTTTACGTTAATGGTCATTTGCATCCTAAGAGTAAATATATGCACAAAGAAATTTTATTGTTAGAGGACTAAGTATCTGAAACACCAATTTTCTTTTGACTACATCTTGGCAAGGTAAGTACACATTTTCCTTCTCCTGTTTGAAGTTCCACTTCAAAGTTTATTAGATTTTGTAGAAAATTATATGCAAAAGTATTTTTAAAGAAGTTAAAATAACTCAAAAAGTCATCTGTAAAAATATTATCTCCAACTGAATTAAGGAAGCTGATATAACTGTATTTTTAGTAATGCTAAAGGTTATTAATAATCAGACTCCAAAGAATTAACAGTGACAGTCGCTACTCAGCTCTATTGTTCCCACGCACTGCAGATCTTACTGTGTACTGAGAGAAGACCCTATCAATACCTAGGCACAAAGGGTTGAACTAAAAAGAAAAAAACCAGCTCTTTAATGATCAGTTCCTTTGCTCTCATGATTTTAAGTGAAGCCCTTAACAACATCAGTTTGTTTATTTTTAAGAAAAGCACATCTGGTCTAGAACACTACAATTAACACTGGACTTACTGTATTCTTGGAGGGAGCAGGCAGAGAGTTGCAACTCTTGGACAGTAACATTAAATGTTGGAGTACATGTGTACCGGCAAATGCATCTCAGTTCTGCATGTCATGCAGAAACTTTGTGTGAAATGTTGTTTTGTTTCCAAAAAAAGGCTTCGTTGGTTTTGCTTTTTTCCTTTTTGAAGTATGCTACAAGGCATCCTCCAGGCAACTTTTACCGTATAAAGATAAAAATTCTACCTGAGCTGTAATTGATTACTAAGATGGTTTCTAGTTCAAACTTAACAATAAGGATTCATCTCATTGGAGTAAAATTTTATGTTATGGGTGAACTGCAAAGTAAAAGATACATATATCTTCTGCTGCTCCTTTGTCACGTAAGGAGTGACACCCATAGTTTATTCCCTGTTTACATACCAGGTATATAATTTCTTTCATTTTCCTGGAGGACTTCAGCAATACGAAGGACTGCCATTTGGATTTTGCAAGATAGGCAAGTTCACCCCTCTGATTTTTGGGAGTGAATATATTAAGTTCTTTGGTAGGCATGCTAACTTTTGACTATGATAAAAGTAAACATTGTCTGGAATATTTCAAAATTACCTAACTTTACAAACATATAGATACACTTTGCTACCTTTAAAGTAATAGCTTCAAGAACAAATGTATTTATAAAAATAGCACTGTTACTTTTGGTCATTCTCTACAGTATTTATGTTTGAACCACATGTCACCTGTAACATTCAAAGGAAACATTTTGTTCTGTTAATAGAGACAGGTGAAAGAGAAACATTGGATTGGATAATAAGCATTAAGTGTCTCATATACAAACTGGACGAAGCAGCAGCAGTGAAGTGGTTCACTGCTTGTCTGATTTGTCACTATTATTTTGAGGTTTTTATCTTAGTATCAGACTGACCTAAAGATCAATTTTCTGCCCTCCAGACAAATTCAACAGGTACAAATTTGAATAGTACACAAATGTGAAACAGAACATACTAATGGTAATATCATTTGCATAATAATCTCAGGCGTTTTAAAGAAAATGTCACAATCTGTAGCATGTGTGAGAAAAATTTGTGAGAAGTTCATTCGTGATAAATAGCCTTTTGTACAATACAGCAGAAAAATTAGTGAACAAAAATTTTGCTAGGCAGTTATGAAATACTCCAGATAGCTGTGCTAAGAAACATAAACAATTAAAACAAGCTACTGCTGTCACTTACAGAAACATTTTCGATTAAAGTTTTTCACTTGACCGTCTTTACAAGCACGGTTACATTACCCACATTCAGGGGAACACAAGAAAGTAAGAAGCAGTAATCTGTAAACTTTACATGGGTTTCTCCTTTCACTGTGTAAAAGCAGAAGTGATGAACGTAAAGTTGTAATATGCCTGGCTTTGAAGAGGAGGAACTACCAAAGAGGAGGAACTACCACAGAGGTCTGCCTCTACAACACTGAGTAGTTAGTAGGAAACACTTTCCTTTCTCTCTTTGCTCCATGTTCTTTTTTAATCTTCATATTTTTTCTATAAACCTCAAACTGTCAGAAGTTCGAGACAACCTATTCTTTCAGAATTCCAAGTACTTGAACTCTTCCTCCTACATCCAGTAAAAATGAGGTCAAATTAAATTTTTTTTTTCATCAAAAAGGCTGCTGCCTACTATTCCCCGAGAAGTCCGATTCAAACCTCTAAGAACTAGCATTTGCTAAACTAATACCATGATTTGTACTTTTGCAGGTGACTAAATAGGAAGATGAAGACAAAGAGACATAGTAAATCACACTTCGCCTTCCCTGTCGTGATAATCTTTTCTTCATGTTTGCAAACAAGTGCAAACCATACCGATTATCCTAGGGTTATAAATGAAACCTGGAATCCTATCAGCCAAAACCTAAGTGGAAGCCAGAACATAACAGAAGCCAATACAAATTCTCCTCTAAGCATCAATTTCAACAGCAAAACGACTACTTTTGGAATGCAGACAAGTACCCTGCAATCCTCATCTTCAACAATGGCCCAAAATTCAACATCTTCCCCTGCCAGAAGTGCTGTTTCTGCCACTGGAGGACCTAGGAATACCAGCAAACCCAAGAGCACAATGACAAAAGAAACATGTGAAGACAATAAGTCTCTTATACTGATTTGCTTCATTATAATAGCAGTACTTGTGCTTATCTGCACCTTCTTATTTCTGTCGACAGTTGTAATAGCAAACAAAATGTCGTATCTCAAAAAAACTAGGCAAGGAAAACGCAGGCCCAGGAGCAATGGTGATATTCTGGCGACTAACAGTTTATGGCCAACTGCAGCAGGAACATGGCAGAGGATGCCTAAGGAGACAACTGGAACTGACTTGATAATGCAAGACTTAATATCGGGGAGAGATGCTGTGATCCAAAGGAAAATCGAAGATGAAACTACTGAGAAACTCACTAAGGAAATAGATAACGAACAGGAAAACAAAGATCCATCAAAGTCACACAAACCCATTTTAACGAATTTTGTAGTTGAGATTTAATTCATACTCAGGTAAAAACTAATCTTTTGCCTTTTTTACATCATTGATATAAGGCAGAAACTTAGCTTTCAAGTAGCAACATGAATTTTAACACAGGAAAGCTATATTCAGATTTTAGGGGTTTTCCTTTTATGATAGTGGAAATGCTGTAGCAACTTGTAGATCTAGAAGGGACTAGGATTGTGTTAAATAGCTTTCTATATATAAATAGTGTCAAGACCCGTTTTACTCCTTTGACCAGAAATCATGGTGATAGGAGCTGAACAGGATAAAACAAAAGGACAGAAGTCTGCCCATTCTCAAAGATCATTAGGGGGAAAAAAAGGAAAGGACTGTTATATACCATACCATAAGGTGCTACACAGGTATAACCAAGTTGCTTTCTTAAGAAAACCATAATTCAGTCACAACTTTGATGCAATTACTGAATCAGGAACTAGTCCCTCTCAAAATGCCCTTTGAGGTTTTTCCATTAAGAACTTCTTAAACCAGCTTAATTGCTTTTGAACCAGCTTGAGATTTGAATCATATTTATTGTGTTTCAACCTTGCGTATGAATATATGAAGTTTGTATTATATGTTAGAATATGAGAACTGTTTCAATTTGTTATCTCCAATAAACTACCAACATCAGTTTTTAAATGACTTATGTGATACTATTTCTCTAAGTCAAAATATTTAAAAAAATATTACACAAGGCATTTTGGAATATTATATTCCTATAACATTTGCTGAAGGTCAGTGAAGGTTTCTCTGATGACTAGCTGTCATTTCTTGCATCACAGAAACACACTCCACTTTGTCCTAATACAACCAATAAGAACATGCCAAAAATTTCTTCAAAACCACCACAACTTTCAGTTTCTTTATCCTCATAGAGACCTGATTTTCCCATATTTCTGGAGAGACGTCTGTGTCTGGTCTCACTACAGCAGAGCTTTGTTAATATAAGGAAACATGAGAAGCTTTTCACAGGCTACTTCTTGGGTTGAAGATGATCTGTTGCACCATGGTTACAAGTGCTAAAACTGCATAACAACAAAGCTCTAAACATCCTGTGCATCTGTAATAAACATTTTTTACACAAGAGATGGTTGTATGAGTTTGAAAGAATCGGGACGTAAGACTGAATCACCAATTCACCTTCCATTACATCACCCATAAACTTATCTGAAAGGGCAGGTAAAGAAGCAACAGAGAAGCAAGAGGACAGTATCATGGAAGCCAAAAGAGAGCAAGAACTCAAAAAAAAAAAAAAAAAAAAAAAAAGCAACTGCCTGTGTCAAAGGTGGTTTGTGTAGTAACAAAGATTTTGCAAGCTTGGCCCAGAACTGGGAGTCATTAGAAAGTAAGTTCACCGGAGATGGAAAAAAATCCCAAACCCAACTATGGGGCATATTCCAATGACTGCCATAAACCACATATTCAGACCTTAGAGCTCAAAGGGAGGAGGCGCAACACAACACACAAGTAGAATGGGAGGACAGGGGATTATGTCAGACATTTCTAAAACATGAGGAGAAAGGCCAGAAGAATAAGGGCAAACTGCGACAGATTGGTGATGACAACTTAGTACTTAGAGGAGATGAACTAAGAACATCTCACACTGGTGACAGAAAGAGAGCTAAAGGGCAGGGTTGGGGGATGCTGCATTGCAGTTACCTTCTCCTTCCCCAAAATGACCATGAGCACATGAGGCAACAGCAGAGGCTGTGCAAGTACTAAAAAAAGAATCTTGAGATAGCAAACGTGGGAATCTAACCTGGTGTAAAACTGCTCACAGCTAGGAAGGTGACAGAACTAAAACAGGAGAACGAATCTGGAAGACTTAGCCAGCCTACATACAGGAACACAGTAAGCTGTTAGTAGGCAGCGGATTAAAGGGGTAAAACCAGCAGTGTCATGAAAAAAGCAGGCAAAAAAGGAAAGAATCACGATCATATCACTGGAAGAAAAAAGAGGAAGGAAAAAGAACTATCAATGAGGTGGGAACTGTGGCAAAAGATAGGTGGAGAGGGTTTAAGAGAATGGGGATGAGATGAAGGAATCGAACAAGAAACTGAGTTATAATGTGAGTATGGGATCAGGATTTGTTTTTGCTGCAGGAGTAGGGAGAGTCTGAAAAAGAGAACTAGTGCAATCAGAAGAGAGGCGCAACAGGAAAAGCAGGAGGAGATGAAGAAGCTGCAGAAGGATATGGCAGTAGCTACTTGGCACTGGCAGAATACACTTGCAAAATGCAACGAGGACATATTTGTGCAGGTTTCTTTTTGCCAGGCAGCCTTTCTAGGCAAAAATGCTCAAGGAGACAGAAGAAAGTAGTTTGGGTTTCACTAAATGGTACAGACAAAGACAGACAGTGGGAAAACAGCTGCTCAGAGAGCACAGCCCCCCATTAATGATGGCAGCAGGGACCAAAGTTGTCCAGACACAAAAATAACATGGAGAGTAGGGGGCAGGAGCAGGGTGAAATCTGTAATTATGTGCCTTTTAATGCACACAACTGAAGATGGGCAAGCAAGCCAGCATCCTGTGATGAGACAGCTTTCTGTGACTCACAGTAATGAACCTAAGCTTGCTTTTCCACTAATAGTCATGACAGCACACCAAACCCATTCCCCAAAATTAAATCAGTAAGATTCAAATCCAATCCAAACCTGCATAATTTTTGACTCACACAGAAGTAATTATAACTATTTTCAACAGAGACAGGCAAACAAGTATTAATGAATTTCTACATAATGGGCACATACCAGACAAAAGCCACAAACATTTAAATACTTAAGTTTTATAAAAAAAAAAAAGAGCTGAAAAGTTTGCTTGTAAAGCATGCAAACTCTGAGATAAGGCTCTTAGTAAGCTCCCTACTCTTGACACTTCTGCAGCAAGTATTGGTAAACTTCCTCTTTAGCTGCAGAAACCTACTTCAACATGAAACGAGCCATTTTAAGCTGCTTGAGTTTCAGCACACAGTCTGGCTTCCTAAAGCTTCAAACCAAAAAGTAAGACGATGCTTGCTTGATAGAAGATCAATGTGCAGGTAAGAATCAACTTCAACATGGAAAGGCTTAATATTTGTATTATTTGGTTTGAAATGGAACTGCACTGTGTACAGCACTGTGTATGTTCTGACTTCGGGGTGTATTCAAAGCTCATTGAATGTCTGTATCTTAAAAGTATGAGGGTTTCAAACACATGTTGTTTGACGTTGTTACCATGAACTATCATGAACTCTACATGTAAGTATTATTTGACTATATTTTGAAAAGAGGGGAGCAGAAGAAAATTAAATGAAATAATTTTTACCTGTTATAAACCTTACAGAGTTTAGATCACATGTTCTAAAGAAGCATTAATTTACTGCTCATAGGTGCTAACACTGTTGCATCTGAAATTTAATTTTACATATTTGTAAACCCACAAAGATTTATGCCTATTAATTTCCCAGGAACAGCATCACATGACTAGCATTAGAGTAACTAATAAAGTATCTCAAATTGTATGGAAGTAGCTTCAGATATAAAACTGCTATGTAGTGGATGTATTTTATGATTTGTTTCATACAAGACATACAGAGACCTGAACTCTAAACAGTACGGGGGGGCGGGGGGGTGGGATCTGGTTCGTCAACAACTTAACATTAACACAATCTCCTTCATTACACAAGTTCCACATGCAGGAATTTATTTACAAAAACAGTTTAACATTAGAATGCTGTTCCATTACAGCATCAGTATTTGGAAACTTTTTAAAAATTATTACGCTCTACCCTTAACTGCTGAAGAGAGGAAAAGAACAGGAAATAAAAGTTTAAGAGAACTGTAAAGAGTCTTTTACTCAAGTCTTGGCTTATATCCATTGAAACAAGACAATTTTCTTTACTCGTGGCAATCCTGTTTGTCGATACTGCTGCAAATGTTTCATATTTTGTGCCAGGTCCACCACCATTCACATGATTGATAAATGTTATTTTGAAACACTCTTAGACTTCTCTGCTGATGCCTTTTTCTGATAAGGTGAAAAAAGATAATAATAACCAAGACATTCTCTTCAAAGTCACTTAATTAGAATGATCAATAATGTTGAAAATCTGCCTGTTGTTTGTAAAGTCAGCGACAAACCTGCTGATTTTGCAAATGGGAACAGACATGAAATTTTAAACATAGAGTCTAATATTATTTTCACTACTATAGTATTAACAAAATTTTCTGGTGTCAGTAAAGTGTAACGATACAACAAATGCAGTTTTCGAGTTAATATGTTCCATTTCATTCCTG